AAAAAAATTTTTTGCAAAAGTTTTTCATTTGTTGCAAAATTTTCGTTACAATTATATTATTCGTTAGAGCAAAGTTTTAGCTTTAAGAATCTGTTTTTTAAATTACGGTGTGATGATTTTTATCGGAGTTACGAGCAATCAAAGTTAGAATGCTCCTTTACTTAATTCGCGAATAACTCAGTAACAAAAAATCATAGGAATATTTTTAAAAAATGATTTTGTAGGAAAAGCTTCGAGCTTTCACGATAGGTAATCGAAAATTTTTGTAAATTTTTTTTGGACACGTGAGAGATCCTCAAAGTGAAAAGAAAAATTTTCACCTTTTTCAGCTTGCAGTTTTTTTGATGTAAAAATTATCAAATTCACAGAAACTGAAAAAATATAGTAATCTTTCGAAAGTAGAGATTTCAAGCTTTAAAACTCTCTTTTTAAATTGAAATTTCATTTATTTTTGACGAAGATATTGTATATACAATTTTGAATTAAAAAATACGAAGAAACTTTTTCCCCAACCCAATATATATAATATATATACGATAATATATATGAATTTCAAATAAATTGATAAATTTATCTTTAAATTTAATTACTTCTTATTTCTAAAAATATTATATAAGTCTCAATCAAAGGCAATCTGCATTAATCTATTTACGCAAATAGGGAAAATCCCGTTATCTACAAAACGATTACCTACAGCTTTGTTTGCACACGGCAATATTGCACATACGATAGAATTGCACACAGCACATTGCACACATGACTTTATTGGCCTAATTTACATCATGCTCTTGATACAGGCACTAACTAGTAATTTTTTAATAAATTATCTTAATTTCAGTGAAACGTATAAACATATACATGATATACGTATTTAATCATTTTGATGCAATTTAGTACCAATTTAGTACATCATTCTTTAAATACATAGCTATAAAAATAAAATAATTTAATAGAAAGTTACAGTTACAGTGTGCGTATCAAGTGCAAGATGTATACTAAATGTATACTAAACCAATAATATCGTGTGTGCAACATGCTTTGTGCAAATGAAGCTAGGCAATCGTTTTGTAGGCAAACGAAGCCCTCCCCATCAAATAACGTTATATATTTTAAATTCGAATTACTCCGTTCACATATTTCACTTAAGATGTAAAGAAAAATAAATTGCAAGCCTCAAAGGAATTTGAAGCATTCTTTTATTTGTTCACATTACTTTAACACACAAAGTATAATTTTGTTTTAATTATGATTGAAGTATTTATTATGAATCAACGTTTACACATGCTTACCTATGCATTTCCGAATTGATCAGCACGACGAGTGCGGCAACTGCAAGGAACATTCGAAACATGTTTTCCGAATTATTTGAATTAAATCTAAAAAGGTTTTAGGAATGTTTGAATTCTTTTTCAAATCAGTTCACAATCAGGACGCACAACAAACGAGAATAAAATTAATCATTAGCGTTTCCAGTGCCATTTATATACAAATTTATATATTTGTGTTGGGAAAGGTAAAAGGAAGGACGAAGCGAGCAAAACATTTCAAAAGTGATAGACTTTAGTATTTTTCGTTAATTGAATTTCTACTAAATTTTTTCAAAAATGCGGTTCGCATTTATCCACATTCATATTTAGCACATAAGCATGATCAATCTATGTATTTATTATAAATAAACTTGATTAATGAAAAAAATACGAGGATGGATTAAATATAAATGAAAACTTTTTTTATTGGACAAGATTAAAAATATAAAGAAAACAAATTACTTTTCTACATAGTTCCCTACAATTTGATATATTTTTTCCAGCGGATAGACAGTTTAGCGATCCCCTATTCATAAAAAGTAGTAGATTGTGTCTAGCTAATTGCGCACGAATTCCTCTATACTGGCATTGTCCTAGAATCCTCCGCATTATTTTAGCGGCTCAACAAATAATATTCGCATTGACAGATATTTTCATACGATTATTATTCATGAAAGAAGAATTGGAAGGACAATACGATTCGTGGACGATACCAGTGGAGAGGAATTCTTACGCAATTATAGCTGCAGACACAACCTACTACTTTTTATGATAACGAGATTGCCAAATTGCTTATCCACTGGAAAAAATTTATTAATATAGCAGAGTATTATGTAGAAAAATGATATGTTTCATTTATATTTTTATTCTCAACCAATAAATAACAAAAAAAAATTCTCGTTTATATTTGATCCACCCTCGTATTAATCTTTAAAGTATGCATCGTTTGTCTTGATAGGATAAGCTTACAAAAATATTGATACAGAAACAACTGTGACTAGAATAACAAAAGCAACTGAAAGTCAACGAGGTAAACAATACACAAAAATTTATCTAAAAACAATATATAATTTGACAAAAATTACAGAATTAGATTTGGTTCGCTTTGGACTATTCTCAGCAATATATTCAATCTTATTCATCGATGTAAAATATGTTCCCCAACGTCAAATAAATAAAAGAATTCGAACGCAAACCAATTAAATGATTGATTGAAAGGATAATTGTATTATATGTATGTTAATATATATATTTTATTCTACGATATTAAGAATTGAATTTTTGAAAAATAAAAGACGATATAACTAAGGGGTTGACCATTATACATGAATATCTCCTAAATAGCTCAATAATGCCCAAGTAATGATCAAATAATAAATAATTTTTTATGCTCATTAATGCTTTAGTAATGCTTCATATTTATCAATAATATATAACCTCATACTGCTTATTATATAATAATACACAATTCTCTTAAAGAATGTCCAGTAATGCCCCAAATTTGTATACCGCAATGCCTGCAATGGTTTATTCCTTGATATAAACTAAAGAATTGAGTTTGTAAATTCAAATTCACTCAAATCTCGCATATCATATTAAAATATGTAACTTAAAATTTAAATTATGTATTAGATAGCGCAGCCCTAAAATAAAAGTAGATAGTACATTCCAAATATAAAAGAAGTAAATACGAAAAAAAATGAATTAATAATAATAGTGAAATATCGATAAGTAGTAAAAAAAAGAAATAACCGGGAAGCAATTATGATCTGTACACTTTGTAGTTTACGAGTAAAAATAAAAACAAATAAAAAAAAAATAATCAAATCGATATGAAAATGACGCAGACAAAAAATAAATTCTATACTTCCAGATTGTATATGAATGGTATATTGCAAATGTTGATGGTTGATCAGAAAGGTATCGTGTAATCTACGACGTAAATATACATTTTATGTATTTACAAAAGAAGTGTGATAATGAAGAGATAAATGAGGTTGTCTACAGAAATAGCAACACTCTTAGTCATTATTTTTTACTCATTCCTTAAGTTTAAAAAATTATTTAGTTATAATATATAATATTAATATTATTATACGGAATATTATTTTAAAAAATATGTATTATTATCATTTCCTAGAAACATAAGATACAATCGATAACATTCACTACGGTCAAAGACAGTTTATTGCTTTAGATTTTAGATAAGTTTACGAATGCAGAGTCAGTATTGAAAATTGCATACAATTTTATATTTTATTAAATAAAAGAGAGAAATTGAGATTAACAGAATTATATTTATAATATCATGTGACAATACGATATTATGCTAAAAGAATTAGTTATACCAAACATTGATAGCAACATTGATAGCAAATAACGCACAACATCGTTACACTTTTGTAAATTATATTACATACGCATTTATCCAAGAATGCAATTAACTCTTAAATAAAACTCCAAATAAAAATTTGAACGCAATAACTATAAGAATTAAAAAAACAAAAAAAATCTAAAAAAAAATTCTAACAACGTTGCAAGACTAAATAATTTGATCATTATTTCCTATAATCTTCTAGCATTTACAGTAATCTCTTGAGAAAACAATTATTACTTATTTTGCATGCGCAAATCTCACTCGATCGTTCCTCATGTCGAACTCAGTGTAAAATGATTAAGAAATGGAGTACCCACAATCTAATTATTCTCAAAATCCAAATATTCCTTAGAATTTACGAAACTGCTTGTACTTGCTATAGTGTTATTCGATTTGATCTACAACAAATTGAACATGGCATAATGTTTTATTTTAAAACAATTTATAGTTATGTCTATTCATCTTATATTGTGACATCAAAAGCGAGAAAATACGAGGTGTGGCTATTAAATAACGAGACTGACGCTGTAAAATATTTTATTTTGGTTTCATACATATTTACTTATTATTACCTTCAATATACACTCCTCCTCTATTCCTATAACGCTTCATGCGAATTTTCCATTGTTTGAAACAGTGCTGAAAGTCTTCTTCTGTCAGCTCGTTCAGGACGCGTGCCGCTTTCTCTTTCACAACGGACTCAAATCTTGTTCCTTTTAATTTTATGTTATTTTAATTTAATGTTATTATCCTTTCCAATAAGTTTGGGTCATTTTCAATGGCATTCAAAGTGTCAGTACAAAGATTTTTGCGAGTTTCTTGTTGTTCAAACGTGAGAATTTTAGGTACCATTTTGGCACTTTTTTCATGTTAAAATTGTTATGTAAAATTTGCCGTACACATTCTTTGTCAATTCCTACAGTTTCACCAATCGCACGAATACTTAACCGACAGTCGGATCGAACCAGATTATAGATTGTTTCGATATTGTCATCCGTTTTTGTGGAAGGGCGACCCGGGCGTGAATCATCTTCAATGTCTTCTCGACCGTCTTGGAAACGCTTAAACCACTCAAAAACACGTGCACGCGATAAACATTCATGGCCATACACTTCTTTCAATAAATTTCAATAAATTATAAATTTCAGTAGCGATTTTTCCAAGTTTCACGTGAAATTTTACAACAATTCGTTGCTCTATTGTTACACTTATCATTTTTCCGGCGAAACAAAAAAACAACTCTAATTCGAAAAAAGGCTACGGCTATACGGATTTGTTTACAGAAGCGAGAGGTACTGCATTCGAAAGAGAAGGCTTCACGCTAAACAGCTGTCGGTCGCTGGCGTTTGGCGCATGCACACTTCTTCTGTAGCAGCGTCAGTCTCATTATTTAATAGCCACACCTACATTAAAAAAGCATTCCAAATTATAATAAAATGTATTTTTTAATAAAACATCATTGTGGTCGACATATTTGTAAAATATACTCAAACCTCTCTATGTATTACAGTAAAATCAATAAATAATAAACTTTATAAATGTATATTATTTTTTTCGCAAATGCACGAAGATACGAATATCGTATAACATACGAATTTCGGACAAATTACAGTAATTAATCATTTTTAATTTAATTTCTATTTATTTTTAGATATTATTTATATTCATTATTAATATTTCAGTACTAAGTCATAAATACAATCCACTTTGACCTTTTTACGCATTAATATAATGTTTACATATATTAATGCAAATTTCAGTTAAGTGAGATGTTTGACCCACTTAAGACATAAAGATAATAAAATTTCGAGTTTTAAAACGAATGCTGAAGAATCTTTTTTATAAGATTATTTTACACCAAAAAACACATTTTCTACAATTTTGTTCTAATTATTGTTAAAGTGTGTGTCACGAATCAACATTATCACTATTTCACCTTAACAATTACGAGTTGATCAACTCCACAAGTGCCACGATTAACACAAAAGATTGGAACATGCTTATCGAATTTCGTAGCAATTAGAGCGAGGAATCAAATATCAAAAACGTTTTAGAAGCGTTGTCCTCTTCAAATCAGTTCACATTTGGAATAGCAAAACAGAATACAAGAGAAAAATCAATCCTTAGCGTTCCAAATGCTATTTACGAGTTTATGTACGTGACAGTGATTAGGAGTGGGTAAAAAAAAGAACAACTAAATCAAAAGAGCTCTCTAAAAACGATCTTGGTTCTTTTCATTAACTAATTTCTAATAAACTTTTAAAAAATTGTGTTTCACATTTAAGCATACTTCTCACATTACGCGATTCAACATTTTAGATACATCGGAAAAAAGTGATAAATTTTTAATTTATGTATTATTTTCGTCTTGTTAGTATTACAAAAGAATAGTGTAGTATCAAATAATGAAAATAATGAAAGCGATTGAGAGTCAGCGCGGTATACAATGTGCTAAACTTTATCTAAAAACAATATATAATTTGTTTTATATAATTACATAATGTTTCAGATCATTTTTAACCATCCTCAGCATTTAATTTATATATTCATCGATATTTTATATTTTCTTTGACGTAGCGGGACAAATCAAAATTTATATTCAAAAATCGCTATAATACTGTAATTCTTAACTGAATAAGACGAATATTTTTTAATTTATTAGGTCAAAAATTTCAAAGAAAATTATAGAATCTGATTTTTAAATAAGGCTTCCTGAAATGTTATATTATATTATAATAATCTGGAAATTATTTTTATGTTATCAGAAGTTACGTAATAAAAAGTTGAATTATTTGAAAAGTTGTTTTTCATCTATCGCGCGCGATGAAGATAGCTCTTATAAAGATTTTCAGCATTGCTGAATCTGTTAAAATTAAGATATGGTTATTGAAAGCTATCAGTGTCGCTATCAACTTTGAAATACATGTTTTAACTGATGTCGTCTAGCTGATGTCAGTGGATCATTCCTATAAATCTAACTCAACATTTTTTTTAAATTTATTCACAATTACTTAAAAAAATAAATAATTTGATGCGGTTAAGTATTACGACCTGTATTTTTGTACAATAAATTTTTTGTCATCCTTATTGGGCGATGAGACATCTGGTGAAAGAAAGAGAGATTAAGAAACTAGTTTTTCAAATCCAACACAATTAATTGAATAGTTGAGAGTATAATTGTGAAACAAAAATAAATTAATTGAAACAATTGTCGACATTTAAAGGAAAAAAAGAAGAAATAATTCGAATGTAAGTACGATGCGTATAGATCGAACATGTAAAATAAAATGTTGTTTTAAGTGACGTCAAATCGATAGGTACATATTTCATGTATTTACAAATTTAGGTAATGAAGAGATAAATGAGGGTGAAATATCCGCAGAAATATCTCCCTCTGGTCAAATATTTTACATACTTTTTTATTACAGTTTAAACAACTTCTCCAAAAATAATTTATAATTTTTTAAAATTATTTAAATGCACAAAATTATATTTTTTAAAAATATTATATTAAAATTATTATTTCTTAGAAACATAAGATGTAATCAATAACATTAACTATGACTTAAAATAATTTATTGCTTTAAATAAGTTTACAAATGCAGAGATCAAGAAGAAAATACATACAACTTTTATATTTTATTAAAAGAAAAAGAAAAATATTGAAAATAGCAGATCAAATTATATTCACGACAATACGATATTATACTGAAATAATGGGCTATATAAAGTAACAAATGTATAACAATAATATCGCAGATCTTCGATCTAATTTTTTTAAGAATATTACATACCTATTTATCTAAGAACATAGTTAACGCCTAAGTAATTCCAAATAAAAGGTATAATTAGTATAAGGATCATGGATCATGGTTCTAAAGGAAGATTGCGGGATTTAATTATTTACTTATTACTATAATTTAATAAATTTTCTAGCATTTAAAGAAATCTCTTAAAAAACAATACTTATTTTGGATGCGCAAATCCCACTCGGTCATTACTCATGTCGAACAAAGTATAAAATCGACTAAGAAAAGGAGTACCCAAAATCCAAATATCATATAAACCAAAATATTCCCTGGAATTTACGAAAGGGCTTGTACATATCGTAATGTTGTGCTCATCCGAATCGTTCTACAACATATTGAACATGATTTGATGTTTCATTTCAAAATAGTTTATAGCTCTTGTCTATTCATTACCATCTTATTTTATTATTACAAAATCAAAAGCGAGAAAATATATTTTAAAAAGTATTTGTATATGTAAATTACATTAAAATGTATTTCTAACTATAATTTAACAAACAATATTGCATTCGACATATTTGTAAAATATACTCAAACCTCTCTACGTGTTACAGTAAAATCAATAAATAACCTTATAATTAAATTATTAATTATTAATTGAATTATAACTTCAAAAAACAAAATTAACTGTATGATTTGCGAGAAAGTTAGTATATTGTTTCTACAAGTGTATTCTATTAAATGCAAAAATTATTATCTTGAAGAATGCATCCAATTTAAAATATTTTGTAACAGTTTTTATATATTTTATCGCTTCTGAAACCGTCAATCTATAGATTCGTGGTGAGTGATCAGGAATTTTAAACCTTTGTTTAATGATATTTACTTTATTGTTTCCATATGGAACTTTTCTCGTATGGATGTAATCATTTGCAGTGAGAACGAATGGTTTATTATTCAAGAAGAAAGTAACATTGGGCAATTCATAAATCTGACGGCAGTCAACCTTTAAACAAAGTTTAATACCTACTAGTAGTCTAAATTAATAAAATCAATATCACAATAAAGCTTAGTATTAAAAAACCATGTTATTGTCATCGGGAACAAATCACATTTATTAATTGACTTTAGTAATTTATTCAGTATCATTAAAAGAGAGTTGCCATTGGAAAATTTATCATCTACTTACAATTATATCTCCTCCATGAGCAATTCCAACTCGTTTTAATGAATCTATTTCATTGTTAATAAATTCGATTTCTGATGCTGGTCCAGATAATCCCGAAAAGCCAGTGTGGGCGATAGCTTCACAGCCATCGTCACAGAAAATCATATGTCTCATTTTTATCCTACAGCATTAACAATTAGCTATATAATACGTTAGCTATATGTATATGTAGTTTAAAAAATAATAACGTACTTATCTATGGGAAATTGCCAGTATCCTTTGTGGGATACATTAACATAAGTGAACTCGGTGTTACAATAATGGGGATCGAAACCACCTAATATCAGTTCACTACCATAATAATAATTTCTATAAATTTTATTTATTTTCATATTAAAAATATTGTTTATTAAAAAAACAATTTTGTGATATAGTAAAATTATTGGAAGAATATTTTTAAATATAAAAAGGAGGTACATGCCGATTCAGATAAAAACTAAAAACTGGTGCCAACACTAGACCTTGTTCAATCATACTGGTGAAAATGGGGGGCATTCCTTTTGTAGATATCTGTGGGTAACCCATTCCTAAGATTCCGTCGTATGACAGATAGTCAAAAGTCAGATCCCGTGTTACCGCTTCTGTGAATGTTTGATTTTGAACTTTAACGCCAGCAATCTATAAAACGGTGACATATGAGTCTTCAAAAAACAGAATTTTTATAAATTATAATTAAAATTAAATCGAACTGTTTGTTTGACGACAACCTACATCCACTACATCAGTAGATAAGTATCCACTCAGCGTACCAACCGCGTAATGAAGTCTGATATGAGTATCAACTTTTATGTATGTGTGGGATTTATTGCTAATATATTTTCTGTGTGACGCTGTATAAAATAATAACAAAAAATCAGTTGTTGTCAAAGATGTTAAAAATAAATTTCTTTTTATTAATTTAAAGATATATAAAGATATAGAAATATAAATATAAAGATGTATGTTGACAATTGTTATAAGATTAAAAACCTTTATTGTTTTTTTGCTTTAACATTATGAATTGCACTATGTATCAAAGATAATCATTTGTACATTAAAAATAAGCACGACAAATAAAATAAACCACATATGATCGTAAAGTTTAATTTAATAATATTTCCCTTCATAATTATTTTAATTTTTATACTATTAAATTTCAAATCACATCATAAAAATTATACTTGAAATATATAGATTATCTTGTACCCTATATTTTTACATAAAATCAGTCATTAAAATAAAAAAGTAATTGATATCATTTCTACATATATAATAGTAATATTATTAAATATAAATGTGCTTGTACATAAGTATAAATATAAATAACAAAAAATATAAGTATAAAAGTATTAATGTAAAAATAAATTAATTAATGGAATGTCGAAGAAAATATTACATTATGATTTACTTACAGCAAGCAATGTTATCATTGTCGCAGGTGATGGATGGTACAAAAAAATTAGAGGCACCAGTGTCGAAAAGTACGTTAAACATCTGCTTTGGAGTTCCAACCGAGATAATACCATAGTATTGTTTATCATATAAATTAAACAGTGGTGCCTTTGGAAAATTAGTCAAATCAAATTGTCGACCTTCAATGGAAGTCCATTTTCGAATAAAGTTTGTCCTATATAATGGAATTCTTGAAGAAACACAAAAGAAATCCATTATGTTACATATTTACGTGTATATATATATATATATATATATATATATATATATATATATATATATCTTAAGTGAGTTAAAGCATCATGGAAATTCGCACTTAAAATATGTAAACATTATTTTAATCCGTAAAATTAAAGTATATTGCATTCATTACTTAGAACTGAAATGTTGAAGCATAAATAATATCCAAAAATAAGAAGAAATTAAATTTAAAATAATTAATTAATTTATCCGAAATTCATATATTGTACGATGTTTATATCTTCGTGTAATTGTGAAATATATATATAGTTTTATCTCACTTAAGACATAAAGATAATAAATTTCGAGTTGCAAAACGATACTCAAACGCCTTTTTCATAAGATTATCTTACACCCGAGGACATGTTTCTACTTAGGATATGTTTGTCCTCGTTCAAATATTTGTCACGAATCAAAATTTTTACTATCTCACCTTAACAATTCAGAGTTGATCAACTCGACGAGTATCATGATTAATACAAAAGATCGAAACATGTTTCTCGAATTTCGTGGGAATTAGAACTAGGAATCAAGTATCAAAATTATTTTAGAAGCGTTGTAACTCAAATCCTTTTCAAACCAGATCGCATAACAGAATACAAGAGCAAAGTCAATCATTAGCATTCCGAATGCTGTTAACGAGCTTATTTACGTAATTGTGTTTAGGAGTGAAAAGAAGAACAATTAAATACACAGAGCGTTTCGAAAACGATCTTGACTCTTTTCAATAACTAAACCCTAATAAACTTTTAAAAAATCATATTTCTCAATTAAGCATATTACTCATTTTTGCATTATCGCGACTCGATGTATTCAAATAAATCTGAAAAAGATATTAATTTTCAAATTATATATTGTATGTTCTTGATAGGTTTACAAATGAATAGTGTTGTAACAAATAATTGAAATAATGAAAGCAATTGAGAGTCAGCGCTTTAAACAATATACTGACATTTATCTAAAAATATATAAATTGATTTAAATAATTACAAAATTTAATGTTTCGGTTCATTTTTAATTAATCTTCGTCATTTAATTTTATACATTCATCGATATTTTATATCCTCTTTGTCGTATAAGGGGGACAAATGAATTTATTATTAAAAATCGCTGTAATACTATAGTTCTTAATCGATGAAAATGAATATTTTTTTAATTTAAATGTCAAACATTTCAAAAAAAATTGTAGAATTTGATTTTTAAAAAACGCTTCCTGAAATATGTAATATTATAATTATCTGGAAATTATTTCTACATTACCAGAAGTTAGCTCGACAATCACTTGCACATTAGGTTTTATTTTCCATTTGAACCCTAGTGCGACATTAATAATTATCTCATATATAATCCACAAATAAAGTATGTATAATTTAGAAAATAATATCATACTTGTCCATAGGAAAATGCCAGTATCCTTTATGGATAATAACATATGTTAATAATCTTATTTATAAACATTAATTAGCAATTTTATACAATAAATACATTCTGTTCTAATAAAAAAACGAGCTTCACATGTATATTCTTGATTTCAGAAGCAATATTTCTCGACTGTACGAATAATTTTTAAGCATCCAAACAATAGAATTTTAAATTTTCAGGTGATTTTTTTCAGATGACATATTTTCTATAATTAATATATATTTTTTTAATATATACAATTTTAAAAAACATACAGTCTATATATTCTATTATATATGAATAATTTGTTCAGCAAAGAATGATTTTCGAATATTTGATTTAAAATATTAAATAATAAGATCAACAATCTACAAAAAATTTATGTCTCCTTGGAAATTTTTATAGATTGAGATTAAATATTGTACTAATTCGATACATTATTCTTTAAATGCATCGCTATAAAAATTAAAATAGTTTGATAGAAAGTTATTAGTTAGTACACCTATCAAGTGTACGATGTAAACTAAACCATTAGCATCATGTGTGCAATACGCTGTGTACAATATTGTTGTGTGTAATATGCTGTGTGCAAATGAAGCTAGGCAATCGTTTTGTAGACAAACAAAGCCCTGCCTATCAAATAACATTAATAAAAATATATTTTAGATTCGAACTTTTCCGTCCAATTATTTCACTTAAGATGTAAAGAAAAACCAATTGCAAGTCTCAAAGAAGTTTGAAGCATTTTTTTATCTGACATTACTCTAACACAAAGTAAAATTTTGTATTAATTATGGTTAAAGTACTTATTGTGACACAACCCTTACACGTGCTCACCCGTGCAATTCCGAATTGATCAGCACGATGAGTGCGGCAACTGCAAGAAACAATCGAATTATGTTTTCCGAACTTTCTGACGATTAAATCTAAGAAGATTTCAGAAATGTTAGGACTTTTCAAATCAATTCATAATTAGGATGCACAACAAATCAGAATGAAGTCAATTAGAGTTCTTAATGTCATTTATATACGAATTTATATGTTGGGAAGGGACGAAAAGGATGAAACGAGCGAAACGTTCCAAAAATGACTTCAGTGCTTTTTGTTAAACAAGTCTCAAATAAATTTTTAAAAAAATGCAGTTCACATTTGTCCACACTCATATTTTGCACTTACGCATGACTGAATATATTTGAATAAATTTGATAAAAATGAAGATGAATCAAATATAAACGAAAATTTCTTTTTTTAATATTTAATATTTAATATTTAGATAAGAAAGAGAATAAAGTATAAAAAAATATTTAAAAAAAACAAATTACTTTTCTACATAGTTTCCCTGCAATTTGATATATTTTTTCCAGCGGATAGACAGTTTAGCGATCCCCTATTCATAAAAAGTAATAGGTTGGATCTGCAGTTAATCGCGCACGAATTCCTCTACTATACATTATCCTAGAATCCTCCGAATTATTTTAGCGGCAAACATGATATTCGAGACATATCTTTCCATACAATTATTATTTGTTTGTTACTACTGAAAGAAGAATTGGGAGGACAATACGATTCGTGAACGATACCAGTGGAGAAGAATTCTTGCGCAATTAGTTGTATCTATTTTTTTAAATGAAAACGGGATCGCCAAACTGCTTATCCGCTGTTAAAAATATATTTATGTAGCAGAGTACTATATAGAAAGACAGTTGGATTCCTTTATATTTTTATTATCTCCAATAAATAATAAGAAAAAATTCTCGTTTATATTTGAATCACCCACGTATTATTCTTTAAAGTATGCTTCCTTTATCTTGATAGAATAAGCTTGAAAAAATAATGATACAGAAACCTATGACTAGAATAATGAGAGCAACTGACAACCAACGCGCTAAACAATACGTAAAAATTTATCTAAAAACAATGTATAAATTGATGAATTTTAATATAATAATAATAATAATATAATTACAAAATTAAATGATTTTACTCGCTATTTTCATCAATATTCAATCTTATTCATCGGTATAAAATGTATTTCCCAACTAAGGGACAATTGAAAATATAGGAGAATCCTTCAAATACAAACCAATTAAATCGTTGGTTGAAACGATAATTGTGGAATATATTTTATTCTACAATACGATATCAGAAATTGAATTTTGAAAAATAAAACAGTGTAACTAAAGAATAAACCGCTGACCAAACCATTGTACATCATTGTCTAGTACCAATAATGTCTAAATACCCAAGTTATGACCAAGTAATAGCAAATTTTTTATGTCCATTAATGCTTTAGTAATGCATTGATCAATAATAATATAACCTAACATCGGTTATTATATTACATAATTCTCTTAAAAAATGTTCAGTAATGCCCCAAATCTATATACCGCAATGCCCACAGTAATTTATTCCTTGGTATAACTAAAGAATTGAGTCTATAAATTTAACTCACTCAAGGGTCTCGCATAACATATTAAAATATTAGGTGTTGGAATTAATTCGTAGCGTTTTACAAGTGATGGGAAGTACTTTCATTAATGTATTTTTTAATGCTCATGTGAAATAAATAACATTCTTTCATTAAAAAACGCTACGAATTAATTCCAACACCTAATATATTACTTAAAATTTAAATTATGTAGTAAGATAAATGGTACAGTACAAATATAAAAGAAATAAATATGAAAAAAATGAATTATCTGAAAATAACAGTGAACAATCGATAAGTCAAAAAGAAATAACCAGAAAGCAATTATGAACAATTCTGTACACTTCGGAATGAATATTTACACACGTAAAAATAAGAATAAAGAAAAAGAAATCATCAAACCGATATAAAAGTGACGCAGATAAAAAATATATACTATAATACTTCCAAATTGTACTTGAACGATAACATGTTACAATTGTGATTGATCGGAATAAATATTATTTGTATCGCGCGTGTAATCTACTGATATAAATAATATTTATTTTATTTTGTAAGTAAATTTTATGTACTTACAAAATAAGTGAGATAATGAAGAGATGAATAAAATTGTCTACAGAAATAGCAATTTTTATAGTCAATATATTCTATTCATTCCTTAAGTTTAAACATATTATTTAGTTATAATATATAATTTTAATAAAGCAAAATTATTTTAAAAAATATGTATTATTATCATTTCCTACGTAAGATATTCGATGACATTAATTACAACCGAAGACAATTTATTGCTTTAGATTTTAGATATGTTTACAAATGCAGAGTCCGCATTGAAAAATACATATAAATTTTACATTATAATAAACAAAAAAGAAAAATTAAGATTAACAGAATTGTATTTATATTGTGTAATAATACGATATGCAGGAAGAATGAATTATATTAAACTTGATAGCAATAATGTCGCAAATCTTCATTATACTTTTATAAATTGTACGCTTTTATCAAGAATGAAGTTAACGCTTAAATAACTCAAAATAAAAATATCAATGCCATAAATATAAGAATTAAGAACCAAAAAAAAAAAAAATTTTTAAATGATTCTAAAAACTTTGCAAGACAAATACACTCATTATTACATAATATGCTCATTATTTCCTATAATCTTCTAGCATTTAAAATAATTTCTTCAGAAAACAATACTTATTTTGCATGCGCAAATCCCACTCGGTTGTTCCCCATGTCGAACACAGTATAAAACTTATTAAGAAATGGAATACCCAAAATCCAAATATCATTTTTACCAAAATATTTCCTGGAATTTACGAAAGGACTTGTACACATCGTAATGTTATATTCATCCGCATCGACCTACAACATATTGAACATTTGATGTTTCATTTCAAAACGGTTTATAGCTCTTGTCTAATCATTACCAACTTATATTGCAAAATCAAAAGCGAGAAAATATATTTTAAAAAGTATTGTAAATTACATTAAAATGTATTTCTAAATGTAATTTAACAAACAATATTGCATTCGATATATTTGTAAAATATCCCAAATCTCTCTATATGTTACAGTAAAATCAATAAATAACCTTATAATTAAATTATTAATTATTATTAGGTGTTGGAATTAATTCGTAGCGTTTTACAAGTGATGGGAAGTACTTTCATTAATGTATTTTTTAATGCTCATGTGAAATAAATAACATTCTTTCATTAAAAAACGCTACGAATTAATTCCAACACCTAATAATTGAATTATAACCCCAGAAAACAAAATTAACTGTATGATTTGCGAGAAAGTCAGTATATTTTTTTTACAAGTATTTTCTATTAAATGCAAAAATTATTATCTTGAAAAATGCATCCAATTTAATATATTTGGTAATAGCTTTTATGTACTTCATCGCTTCTGAAACCGTCAATCTAAAGATTCGTGGTGAATGATCAGAAATTTTAAACCTATATTTAATGATATTTACCGTTCTAAAATTGACGTAATCTTTTGCAGTGAGTACGAATGGTTTTTTATTCAAAAAGAAAGTAATGCTGGGCAAATCAGAAATATTATTGCAGTTCACCTTTAAACAAAGATTAATACCTAATAGTAGTCTAAATTAATAAAACCAATATCACAATAAAGCTTAGTATTAATAAACCATATTATTGTCAACAAATCAGACATTTATTAATTTATTTTAGTAATTTATTCAGTATCATTAAAAGACAGCTGTCATTGGAAAATTTATCATCTACTTACAAATATATCTCCTCCATGAGGAATTCCAAGTCGTCTTAATGAATCAATTTCGTTGTTAATAAATTCGATTTCTGATGCTGGTCCAGATAGCCCCGAAAAGCCAGTGTGGGCGATAGCTTCACAGCCATCGTCACAGAAAATCATATGTCTCATTTTTATCCTACAGCATTAACAATTAGCTATATAATCCGTTAGCTATATGTATATGTAGTTTAAAAAATAATAACGTACTTATCTATGGGAAATTGCCAGTATCCTTTGTGAGATACATTAACATAAGTGAACTCGGTGTTAGAATAAAGAGGATCGATACCACCCAATATCAGTTCACTACCGTAATAATAATTTCTGTACAAATTTTATTTTTTTTCATATTAAAATATTGTTTATTAAAAAAATAATTTTGTATTATAATAAAACGAACTGTTGAAAGAATATTTTTAGACATAAAAAAGAGGTACATGCCGATTCAGATAAAAACTAAAAACAGGTGCCGACACTAGGCCTTGTTCAATCATGGTGGTGAAAACAGGAGGCACTCCTTTTGTAGATATCTCTGGGTAACCCATTCCTAAGATTCCATCGTATGACAGATAGGCAAAAGTCAGATCCCGTGTTACCGCTTCTGTGAAGGTTTGATTTTGAACATTAACGCCAGCAATCTATAAAATGGTGTTATGTGATGCATCAAAAAAATTTTTATAAATTATAATTAAGATTAAATCGAACTGTTTGTTTGATGACAACCTACATTTACTACATCAGTAGATAAGTATCCAGTTAGCTCACCAACCTCGTAATGAAGTCCGATAAAAGTACCAACTTCTATATATGTGTGGGATTCTTTGCTATTATATCTTGTAACTGATGCTGTATAAAATAATAACAGAAAATCAGTTGTTGTTAAATATGCTAAAAATAAATTTCTATCTATTTATTTAAAGATATGTATATTAACAATCGTTATAAGAAAACATTTATTATTTCTTTCCTAACATATAAATTATATCAATAATAATCATTTACACATTTAAAGTAAGCACGATAAATAAAATAAACAACATATGATTGTAAAATTTAATTTCGTAATATTTATCTTCATAGTTATTTTAATTTTGATACTATTAAATTTCAAATCATATCATAAAAATTATAATTGTAATATATAGATTACCTTTGTATCCTATATTTTTACTTAAAGTCAGTCATTAAAAAAAAAAGCAATTGATATCATTTCTACATATGTAATAGTAATATTATTAAATATAAATGTGCTTGTATATAAGTATAAATATAAATAACATAAAATATAAGTATAATAGTATAAATGTAAAAGTAAATAAAATAATCGAAGAAATGTTACATTATGATTTACATACAGCATTGAATATTATCAGTGTAACAGTTGATGGATGGTAAAAAAAAATTAGAAGAACCAGTGTCGAAATTAATTCTAAACTTTTGCGGTGGGGTTCCTACTGAAATAATGCCATAGTATTGTTTGTCATATAAATAAAACAGTCGTGCCTTTGAAAAATGAGTCAAATCAAATCGTTGACCTTCTATGGAAATCCATTTTGGAATAGATTTTGTCCTATATAATGGAATTCTTGAAGAAACACAAAAGAAATTCATTATGTTACATATTTACATGTATATATATATATATATATATATATATATATATATATATATATATATATATGTAAAATATATATGTATGGCTTAACTGAGATAAAGCATCATGGAAACTGAAATTAGCATTTAAAATATGTAAAGATTATTTTAATGCGTAAATAAATTAAAGTATATTGCATTCATTACTTAGAACTGAAATGTTAAAGCATAAATAATATCCAAAAATAAGAAGAAATTAAATTTTAAATGATTAATTAATTTATCCGAAATTCATATGTTATACGATATTTATATAATCGTGTAATTATGAATAATTATGAATATATAACACAAAAGATACCATTATATTACATATTTGTGCACACACACACACACACACACACACACACACACACACACACACACACACACACATACACACATTTCACAATTCCACAAAGATCGTACAACATTCGAATTTCGAACAAATTAAATTAATTTTTAATTTAATTTCCTCTTATATTTAAATATTATTTATGTCTCAACATTTCAGGTTTAAATAATTAATGCAATTAACGCTAAATCTATTTACATATTTAAATTATGTTTACATATTTTAAATGCGAATTTCAGTTTCCATGCTCATCTCACTTAAGACATAAAGATAATAAAATTCCGATCTGTAAATGCTCAAAAGCTTTTTTCGGAAGATTACACCCAAAAACATTTTTCAACAGTTTTGATCTAATTATCGTTCAAGTATTTGTCACGAATCAACATTTTCACTATCTCACTTTAACAATGCCGAATTGATCAATTCGATGAGTACCACGATTAACATAAAAGATCGAAACATGTTTCTCGAAGCAATTAGAGCTACGTATCAAGTATCAAGAACGTTTTAGAAGCGTTGTAACTCCTCTTCAAATCAGTTCATACATAGATCACATAACAGAATACAAGAGTCAATCATTAGCGTTCCCAATGCTGTTTATGCGCTTATATACGTAACTGTGTTAGGAGTGAATGATAAAAAGGACAACTAAACCGGCAGAGCTTTTTGAAAACGATCTTGATTCTTTTCAATAACTAATCTCCAATAAACTTTTAAAAAAAAGTGTTTTGCGTTTAAGCATACTTCTCACATTACGCGATTCAACATTTTAGATACATCGGAAGAAAGTTATAAATTTTTAATTTATGTATTATTTTCGTCTTGTTAGTATTACAAAAGAATAGTGTAGTATCAATAATGATAATAATGAAAGCGATTGAGAGTCTTCGCGATATACAATGTGTTAAAATTTATTTAAAAGCAATATATTTGTTTTATAAAATTGTTTAATATAATCACATAATTTAATATTTCAGATCATTTTTAGCCATCCTCAGCATTTAATTTTATACATCGATATTTTATATTTTTTTGACGTATAAAACGGGACAAATCAAAATTTATTTTTCAAAAATCGTTATAATAGTGTAGTTCTTAAACGATTAAGACAAATATTTTTTAATACATATGTCAAAAATTTCAAAGAAAATTATAGAATCTGATTTTTAAGTAAGGCCTCCTGAAATGTTATATTATATTATGTTATATTATAATAATCTGGAAATTATTTTTATGTTATCAGAAGTTACGTAATCAGAAGTTGAATTATTTGAAAAGTTATTTTTCATCTATCGCGCGCGATGAAGCTAACTCTTATGAAGATTTTCAGCATTGCTGAATCTGATGTTAAAATTAAGTTATGATTATTGATCTATCAATATCGCTATCAACTTTGAAATGCATGTTTTAATTGATGTCATCTAGCTGATGTCAGTGGATCTTTCCTAACTAAAATTCCAAATCTAACTCAACATATTTTTAAATTTATTCACAATTACTTAAAAAAACAAATAATTTGATGCGGTTAAGTATTATGACCTGTACTTTTGTACAATAAATTTTTTATCACTCTTATTGGACGATGAGACATCTAGTGAAAGAGAGAAAGATTAAGAAACTAGTTTTTCAAATCCAATACAATTAATTGGTTATTTGAGAGTATAATTGTGAAACAAAAATAAATTAATTGAAACAATTATCAACATTTAAAAGGAAAAAAAGAAGAAATTATTCGAATGAATGTAATGAAGTAGTAATGAAGAGTTAAATGAGGGTAAAATATCCGCAGAAATATCTCCCTCTTATTATGGTCAATATGTTTTACTTATTTTTTTATTGCAGTTTAAACAACTCATCCAAAAATAATTTATAATTTTTTAAAATTATTTAAATGCACAAAATTATATTTTTTAAAAATATTATATTAAAATTATCATTTCTTAGAAACATAAGATGTAACCAATAACATTAACTATGACTTAAAACAATTTATTGCTTTAAATAAGTTTACAAATGCAGAGATCATGAAGAAAATACATACAACTTCTATATTTTATTAAAAAAAAAAGAAAAATATTGAAAATAGCAGATCAAATTATATTTACAACAATACGATATTATACTGAAATAATGGGCTATATAAAGTAACAAATGTATAACAATAATATCGCAGATCTTCGATCTAATTTTCTTAAGAATATTACATACCTATTTATCTAAGAACATAGTTAACGCCTAAGTAATCCCAAATAAAAGGTATAATTAGTATAAGGATCATGGATCATAGTTCTAAAGGAAGATTGCGAGATTAAATTATTTACTTATTACTATCATTTAATAAATTTTCTAACATTTAAAGTAATCTTTTAAAAAACAATACTTATTTTGCTTGCGCAAATCCCACTCGATCGTTCTCCATGTCGAACTCAGTATAAAATTGATTAAGAAATGGAGTACCCAAAATCCAAATATCTCCACTAGAATTTACGAAAGTGCTTGTACATATCATTGTAGAGTTTCTCGAATCGACCTACAACAAATTGAACATGATGTTTTATTTTAAAACAATTTACAGCTCTCGTATATTCATTATCATCTTACATTGCGACATCAAAATCCAAGAAAATACATAAAAAAAGAATTGCAAATTACAATAAAATGTATGTTTTAATAAAACATCATTGCAGTCGACATATTTGTAAAATATACCTAATCTCTTTATGTGTTACAATAAAATCAATAAATAACCTTATAATTGAAATTGAATTATAACAAGAAAATGAAATTAACTACATAATTTGCGAGAAATTTAATATCTGAATATTTCTTTTTATGAGTGTATTCTATTAAATACAAAAATTATTATCTTAAAGAATGCGTCAAATTTAATAAATTTTGCAAGAGTTTCTATGTATTTTATCGCTTTTGACATCATCAATCTGAAGATTCGTGGTGAGTGATCAGAAATTTTAAACCTTTATTTAATGATATTTACCATTCTCATATTGATGTAATCATTTGCAGTAAGTACGAATGGTTTATCATTCAGGAAGAAAGTAACATTGGGCAATTTAGAAATTTGATGGCAATCCACCTTTAAACAAAGTTTAATATCTACTAGTAATCCAGATTAATAAAACCAATTACACAATAAAGCTTAATATTAATAACCATATATTGTTAACGGTAACAAATCAGACATTTATTAATTTATTTCGATAATTCATTTAGTATCATTAAAATAGAACTGCCATTGGAAAATTTATCATCTACTTACAAGTATTTCTCCGCCGTAATGAGAAATTCCAATTTGTTTTAATAAATCAAATTTGTTGTTAATAAATTCGATTTCTGATGCTGGTCCAGATAGTCCCGGAAAACCAGTGTGGGCGATAGCTTCACAACCATCCGCACATAAAATCATACGTTCCATTTTTATCCTACAGCATTAGCAATTAGCTTATATATAAATAATCTGTTGACATATATATGTATGTAGAAAAATTTTTAAAATAATTACGCACTTATCAATTGCAAATTGCCAGTATCCTTTATTGGTTACATTAACATAAACGAATTCGGTGTTATAATAAGTGGGATCAGAACCACCCAATATCAGTTGACTACCGTAATCATTTCTGTAACCATTATGTTTTTTTCAACATTAAAAATATTGTTTATTAAAAAGACAAAATTTTAATATAAGAAGACGAACCGTTTAAATGAAATCATATTTTTAAACATAAGAAGATACGTGCCGATTCAGATAAAAACTAAAAACAGGTGCCGATACTAGGCCTTGTTCGATCATGCTGTTGAAAACGGGAGGCACTCCTTTTGTAGACATCTCAGGATAACCCATTCCTAATATTCCATCATATGCCAGAAAGGTAAAAGTCGGATCCGGTCTTACCGCTTCTGTGAATGTTTGATTTTGAATACTAACGCCAGCAATCTATAAAACACACACAAGTTCTTTAAAAAAATCTTTATAAATTATAATTGAGATTAAATTGAACTATTTGCTTGATGACATCCTACATTCATTACATCAGTAGATAAGTATCCAGTAAGCTCACCAACCGCGTAATGAAGTCCGATATAAGTACCAACTTCTATGTGCGTGAGGGAATTATTGCTATTATACTTTCTATGTAACGCTGTATAAAATAATAACAGAAAATCAGTCAACATTCAAATCACATCATAAAAATTATACTAGAAATATATAAATTACCTTTGTATCCTATATTATAATTTAAAGTCAGTCATAAAAATAAAAAAACAATTGATATTATTTCTTTATATGTGATAGTAATATTATTAAATATATATATGCTTGTATATAGGTATAAATAACATAAAATATAATAATAAAATATAAAATATAAAATATAATAATAAAAATATAATAATAAAGTATAATAGTATAAATGTAAAAATAAATAAAATAATGGAATATCGAAGAAAATGTTATGATTTACTTACAGCAAGCAATGTTATCATTGTCGCAGGTGATGGATGGTACAAAAAAATTAGAGGCACCAGTGTCGAAAAGTATGTTAAATCTCTGCTGTGGGGTTCCAACCGAGATAATACCATAATATTGCCTATCATATAAATTAAACAGTGGTGCCTCTGTAATATCAGGTAAATCATCTCGTCGACTATCAGTAATCGATTTTCGAATACAATTTTTCTTATATAATGGAATTCTTGAAGAAACACAAAAGAAATTCAATATGTTACATATTTACGTGTGTGTGTGTGTGTGTGTGTGTGTGTGTGTGTGTGTGTATGCCTTAAGTGAGATAAAGCATCATAGAAATTGAAATAAGCTCTTAAAATACGTAAACATTATTTTAATACGTGAATAAATAAATTATAGTATATTGTATTCATTACTTAGAACTGAAATGTCAAAGCATAAATAATATCCAAAAATAACAAGAAATTAAATTTAAAATGATTAATTAATTTATCCGAAATTCATATGTTGTACGATATTTATATCTTCGTGTAATAATATCTTCGTATAATTGTAAAATATATATATATAGTTTTATCTAACTTAAGACATAAAGATAATAAACTGCGAGATTCAAAACGATACTTAAACTTTTTCATAAGATTATTTTCATTATGAAATTATATCATTATCTTACACCCAAGGACATGTTTCTACTTAAGACATGTTTGTCCTAATTATCATTCAAATATTTGTCACGAATCAACATTTTTACTATCTCACCTTAATAATTCAGAGTTGATCAACTCGATGAGTATCATGATTAATACAAAAGATCGAAACATATTTCTCGAATTTCGTAGCAATTAGAACTAGGAATAAAGTATCAAGATCGTTTTAGAAGTGTTGTAACTCGAATCCTTTTCAAACCAGTTCACAGTCGGATCGCAACAGAATACAAGAGCCAGTCAGACAAAAGTCAGTTTATAAGTTTTCATTAGCATTCCCAATGCTGTTTACGACCTTATGTATGTGATTGTGTTTAGGATTGGGTGAAAAGAAGAACAATTAAATAAACAGAGCGCTTTGAAAACGATCTCGGTTCTTTTCAGTCTAAACTAAATTTTCAGTTCCTAATAAACTTTTAAAAATCGTATTTCTCATTTAAGCATATTTCTCACCTTTGCATTTATCGTGATTCGATGTATTTAAATAAATCTGAAAGAGATGTAATTTTAAAATTACATGTTATTTGGCTTGATAGATTTACAAATGAATAGTGTTGTAACAAATAATTGAAATAATGAAAGAGATTGAGAGTCAGCGCTTTAAATAATATGCTGACATTTATCTAAAAATATATAATTTGATTTAAATAATTACAAAATTTAATGTTTCGGTTCATTTTTAGTTTATCTTCGGCATTTAATTTTATACATTCATCGATATTTTATATACTCTTTGACATATAAGAGGGACAAATGAGAATTTATTATAAAAATCGCTGTAATACTGTAGTCCTTAATCGATGAAAATGAATATTTTTTAATTTAAATATCAAAAATTTCAAAAAAAAATTGTAGAATTTGATTATTAAAAAAGGCTTCCTGAAATATGTAATATTATAATTATCTGGAAATTATTTCTATATTGCCACAAGTTAGCACGACAATCACTTGCACATTAGGTTTTATTTTCCACTTGAACCATATAGCGATATTAATAATTACCTCATTTATAATCCACAAATGATGTACGCATAATTTAGAAAATAATATCATACTTGTCCATAACAAATTGCCAATATCCTTTATGGGAACATTAACATACATTAATAATATTTATAAACACTAATTAGCAATTTTATACAATAAATACATTATGTTCTATTAAAAAAACGAGCTTCGTATATATATTCCTGATTGTAGAAGCAAAATTTCTCAACTTTATTTTTTGAGCATACAAACAATAGAATTTTAATTTTCGCTTTTTTTGACATATTTTCTATAATTAATACTCATTTTTTTAGTATACATAATTTTAAAAAACATACAATCTATGTATTTTATTCTTTATGAATAAATTGCCCAGCACAGAATGATTTTCGAATATTTTATTTAAAATATTAAAATCAATAACCTACAAAAATGTATTTATATCTTTAAGGAAATTTTTATAAATTGAGACAAAATATTGTATTAATTCGATACATCTTTAAATGCATCCTAATAAAAATTAAAATAATCTGATAGAAAATTACTAGTTAGTACGTGTACGTTAGTATCAAGTGTACGATGTAAACTAAACCAACCATCATGTGCAATACTGTCATGTGTGCAATACGCTGTGTACAATATTGTCGTGTAATATGCTGTGTGCAACTAAAGCTAGGCAATCGTTTTGTAGGCAAACGAAGTCCTGCACATAAAATAACGTTATATATTTAAAATGCGAACTTTTCCGTTCACATATTTCACTTAAGATGTAAAGAAAAATAAATTGCAAGTCTCAAAGAAATTTGAAGCATTTTTTTATCTGACCACATTACTCTAACACAAAGTACAATTTTGTTTTAATTATGGTTGAAGTATTTATTGAAACTCAACCTTTACACGTGCTCACCTGTGCAATTCCGAATTGAGCAAGATGAGTGGCAACTACAAGGAACAATCGAAATATATTTCACGAACTTTCTGAGGATTAAATCTAAGAAGATTTCAGAGATGTTAGAACTCCTTTTTAAATCAATTCACAATTAGGATGTACAACAAACCAGAATGAAGTTAATTAGCGTTCTTAATGTCATTAATATACGAACTTATATGTTGGGAAGAGACGGAAAGGACGAAACGAGCGAAACATTCCAAAAGTGACATCAGTACTTTTTGTTAATCAAACTTCTAATAAACTTTTTAAAAAATGAAGTTCCCATTTGTCCACACTCATATTTTGTATATATGCCTGACTCAATGTATTAGAATAAATTTGATTAATAAACATGAGGGTGGCTCAAATATAAGGGAGAATTTCTTTTTTTAACATTTAGTAGATAAGAGAGAGAATAAAAATATTTAAAAAAAAACAAATTACTTTTCTACATAGTTCCCTGCAATTTGATATATTTTTTCCAACGGATAGACAGTTTAGCGATCCCCTATTCATAAAAAGTAGTAGGTTGTGTCTGCAGCTAATTGCGGACGAATTTCTCTATACTGGCAGTCCTAGAATCTTCCCCATTATTTTAGCGGCTCAAACATGATATTCGCATTGAGACAAATCTTTCCAATTATTACTTGTTTGTTACTACTGAGAAAAGAATTGGGAGGACAATACGATTCGTGAACGGTACCAGTGGAGAAGAATTCTTGCGCAATGAGTTGTAGACACAACCTACTATTTTTAATGAAAACGGGATCGCCAAATTGTTTATCCTCTGGTAAAAATATATTTATGTAGCACAGAGTACTATATAGAAAGATAATTTGTTTCTTTATATTTTTATTCTCTTCAATAAATAATAAGAAGAAATTCTCATTTATATTTAAATCATCGTATTAATCGACGTATTAATCTTTAAAGTATGCATCTTTTGTCTTGATAGCATAAGCTTACAATAAATGATACAGAATAAATGATACAGAAACCTGGGACTAAAATAATGAGAGCAATTGAAAATCAATCCCTAAACAATACGCAAAAATGTATCTAAAAACCATATATAATTTGACAAATATAATTACAGAATTAAATGATTTGGCTCGATTGGATTATTTTCATCAATATTAAACCTTATTCATCGGTATAAAATGTGTTCCCCAACGAAGAAACAAGTGAAAAAATAGAAGAATCCTTCAAACACAAACCAATTAAATCGCTGGTTGAAACGATAATTGTGGAATATATTTTATTCTACAATACAATATCAGAAATTGAATTTTGAAAAATAAAACGGTATAACTAAAGGACAAACCGCTGACCAAACCATTGTACATCAATGTCTAGTACCAATAATGTACAAGTAATACCCAAGTTATGACCTAGTAATATCGAATTTTTTATGCTCATTAATGTCTTGATCAATAATAATATAACCTAACATCGGTTATTATAATACACAATTCTCTTAAAAAATGTTAAGTAATGCTCCAAATCAATACATTACAATGCTCACAATAATTTATTCCTTGGTATAACCTAAAGAATTGAGACTATAAATTCAAACTCATTCAAGAGTCTCGCATAATATATTAAAATATATAACATAAAATATAAATTATGTAGTAAGATAAATGGTACTATATAAAAGAAGTAAATATGAAAAAAATGAATTATTACCTGAAAATAACAGTGAACAATCGATAAGTAAAAAAAAAACAATCGGAAAGCAACTATGAGCTGTACACTTCGGAATGTACATGTAAAAATAAGAATAAAGAAAAAGAAATCATCAAATAGATATGAAAGTGACGCAGATAAAAAATATATACTGTAATACTTCCAAATTGTATTTGAAAGATGGTATAATACAAATGTGGTTGATCGGGGGGGGGGGGGGGAATAAATATTATTTATATCGTGTAACCCACCGATATAAATAATATTTATTTTATTTTGTAAGTAAATTTTATGTACATACAAAATAAATGAAGAGATGAATAAGATGTCAACAGAAATAGCAATTCTTATAGTCAATATATTCTATTCATTCCTTAAGTTTAAACAAATTATTTAGTTATAATATATAATCTTAATAAAGCAAAATTATTTTAAAAAATATGTATTATTATCATTTCCTACGTAAGATATTCGATAACATTAATTACAATCGAATTTATTGCTTTAGATTTTAGATAAGTTTACAAATACAGAGTCCGCATTGAAAACTACATATAACTTTCACATTTTGATAAACTTAAAAGAGATATTAAGATTAACAGGATTATATTTATATTGCGTGATAATATGACATGTTGGAAGAATGGGTTATAATAATCATTGATAGCAAATCTTCATCGTAATTTTATAAATTATACGCTTTTATCAAGAATAAAGTTAACGCTTAAATAATTCCAAATAAAAATATATACGCCATAAATATAAGAAATAAGAGCCAAAAAAAAAATTTAAAAAAAGATTCTAAAGACTGCAAGACAAAATAATTCGCTCATTATTTTCTATAATCTTCTAGCATTTAAAATAATCTCTTGAGAAAACAATATTTATTTTGCATGCGCAAATCCCACTCGGTCGTTCCCCATGTCGAACACAGTATAAAACCGATTAAAAAATGGAATACCCAAAATCCAAATATCATTTATACCAAAATATTCCTTGGAATTTACGAAATAGCTTGTACATAACGTAAGGTTGTACTTGTCCGTATAGAGCTGCAACATATTGAACATGGTTTGATATTTCATTTCAAAATAGTTTATAGCTCTTGTCTATTCATTACATTCTTATATTACAAAATCAAAAGCGAGAAAATATATTTTAAAAAATATTATATATTATATTAAAATGTATTTCTAAATGTAATTTATCAAACAATATTGCATTCGACATATTTGTAAAATATACGCAAACTTCTCTATGTGTTATAATAAAATCAGTAAATAACATTATAATTAAATTATTAATTATGAATTGAATTATAACCTCAGAAAACAAAATTAACTGTATGATTTGCGAGAAAGTCAGTATATTCTTTTTCAAGTGTATTATATTGAATGTAAAAATATTATCTTGAAGAATATATCCAATTTAATATATTTTGTAAGAGTTTTTATGTATTTTATCACTTCTGAAACTGTCATTCTAAGGATTCGTGGTGAGTTATTAGATATTTTAATGATATTTAATGATATTTACCGTTCTCGTATTGATGTAATCTTTTGGAGTGAGTACTAATGGTTTATTATTCAGGAAGAAAATAACATTGGGCAATTTAGAAATCTGACGGCAGTCCACCTTTAAACAAAGTTAATACCTACTAATAGTCCAGATTAATAAAACCAATATCACAATAAAGCTTAATATTAATAAATCATATTATTGTCAACGGGAACAAATCAGACATTAATTAATTTATTTTAGTAATTTATTCAGTATCATTAAAAGAGAGCTGCCATTGGAAAATTTATTATCTACTTACAAATAGATCTCCTGCATGAGAAATTCCAACTCGTCTTAATGAATCAATTTCGTTGTTAATAAATTCGATTTCTGAGGCTGGTCCAGATAATCCCGAAAAGCCAGTGTGGGCGATAGCTTCACAGCCATCCTCACAGAAAATCATATGTCTCATTTTTATCCTACAGCATTAACAATTAGCTATATAATCCGTTAGCTATATGTATATGTAGTTTAAAAAATAATAACGTACTTATCTATGGGAAATTGCCAGTATCCTTTGTGGGATACATTAACATAAGTGAACTCGGTGTTAGAATAAAGAGGATCGATACCACCCAATATCAGTTCACTACCGTAATAATAATTTCTGTACAAATTTTATTTTTTTTCATATTAAAATATTGTTTATTAAAAAAATAATTTTGTATTATAATAAAACGAACTGTTGAAAGAATATTTTTAGACATAAAAAAGAGGTACATGCCGATTCAGATAAAAACTAAAAACAGGTGCCGACACTAGGCCTTGTTCAATCATGGTGGTGAAAACAGGAGGCACTCCTTTTGTAGATATCTCTGGGTAACCCATTCCTAAAATTCCATCGTATGACATATAGGCAAAAGTCAGATCCCGTGTTACCGCTTCTGTGAAGGTTTGATTTTGAACATTAACGCCAGCAATCTATAAAATGGTGTTATGTGATGCATCAAAAAAATTTTTATAAATTATAATTAAGATTAAATCGAACTGTTTGTTTGATGACAACCTACATTTACTACATCAGTAGATAAATATCCAGTCAGCTCACCAACCGTGTAACGAAGTCCAATATAAGTACCAACTTCTATGTATGTGTGGGATTCATTGCTATTATATCTATTAACTGATGCTATAAAAAATAATAACAGAAAATTAGTTGTTGTTAAATTTGCTAAAAATAAATTTCTGTTTATTAATTTAATATATATTAACAATCGTTATATAAGAACGGAAATATTTATTATTTCTTTCCTTTAACATGAATTATATCAATTATATATCAATAATAATCATTTATACGTTTAAAGTAATCACGATAAATAAAATAAACAACATATGATTGTAACATTTAATTTCATAATATTAACCTTCATAGTTATTTTAATTTTCATACTATTAAATTTCAAATCACATCATAAAAATTATACTTGAAATATATATGTTTTACCTTTGTACCCTATATTTTTACTTAAAGTTAGTCATTAAAAAAAAAGCAATTGATATCATTTCTACATATGTAATAGTAATATTATTAAATATAAATGTGCTTGTATATAAGTATAAATATAAATAACATAAAATATAAGTATAATAGTATAAATGTAAAAGTAAATAAAATAATCGAAGAAATGTTACATTATGATTTACATACAGCATTGAATATTATCAGTGTAACAGTTGATGGATGGTAAAAAAAAATTAGAGGAACCAGTGTCGAAATGAATGTTAAATATTTGCGGTGGGGTTCCAACTGAGATAATGCCATAGTATTGTTTATCATATAAATAAAACAGTCGTGCCTTTGGTAAATCAGTCAAATCATATCGTCGACCTTTAATGGAAATCCATTTTCGAATATAGTTTGTCCTATATAATGGAATTCTTGAAGAAACACATAAGAAATCCATTATGTTACATATATATATATATATATAT